TAAAGCCAACAGAGCCTCCTCCTTAAGTATGGACAATATCCTTACAACGATACAGAATATAGATTAATAAACCCCAGAAGTTCACCCATGGACCAGGAGAGCAATGAGAAGGAATTCAGAATTAACATTCCATAGATACACCAAACAGGGGACAGAGAGCAAAACGAATGTCTCCATGGAAAGCTTTTACACTTTAAAAACAAAGCAAAAGAACAACTGCTCTTTGCCCCCAGGTTAAAGTGCTCTGTTTCTATTTTGGTCCTTGGGTATCTTAGAAAAGACTTCAGAATTAAGTGAAAAGGAAAACAGATAGGACAGTAATAATAGAAAATGAGACTTTGTCTAACTGCAGAGAACTGTTAGGACAGGACAGAATAGCACAATTGTACAAAGGTGAACATAGGATGCATCCTGAAAAGGGCATCATCTGTAGCTGTGAAGTAAACATGGGAGGAAGGGCAACTTGTGGAATTCCATCCTCCTCACTCCTCTTCTGTCCCCCGTCCACCGCTTTGGAAAACTAGGCACTTATAACTTGTACCTGCTGTGCCACAGAGAAGGAACAGCACAACAAGCAAAGGCAACATCTTTTCCCTGCAAGATTCTTTTTGCATGAAAAAGTAGCAAAAGGATGAGCTGACAGATCAAGAAAGCAGCTAGTTGGGAGTAGTAATGAGCAGATGCTACTTTGATTTAGCAGTGATTTTCAACCTGTGGGACCCCAGATGTTTTGTCCTTCAACTCCCAGAAATGCTAACTGCTGGTAAACTGGCTGGGATTTATGGGAGTTGTAGGCCAATACACCTGGGGACCCACAGGTTGAGAACCACTGATTTATTGTAAGGTCCTGGCCTGGTGAACCCTGATTTAACAGGTGCACCTTCCTAAAACACAGAAGCTTCGCTTCACAGCCACCTGTAGAGCCCCCAGGCTTGTGCCAGCAGGACTGAAGACCGACCAGTCAGAGAGCGCGGATGAGTTCCCCCTGTCAGTTCCAGCTCCCCATGCAGGGACATGAGAGAAGCCTCCCATAAGGATGGTAAAAAATCCCGGTGTCCCCTGGGCAACGTCCTTGCAGATGGTCAATTCTCTCACACCAGAAGCGACTTGCAGTTTCTAAAGTCGCTCCTGACATGAAAAAAACAAACAAAACAAAAACAAAACCAGCCAGCTGTATTACTGTATCACATGGACAACAGCAAGGAGCAGTACCTGTAAGATTCTCTGCTTGTTTACTCTCACTCAGCAGCATTTTAGGGAGAATTAAGTCTATCAGTTTCACAAGCAACAGAGAGGAATAAATCGACAAGAGTAGAAGCAGTTCCTTTTGCTTGTCCACTTGCTTTGCCTCTGCAAGTGACCAGGCAACAGATCATCAGCAGCCAGGCACTCGTTTCCCCTTTCTCTGGGCAACACAATAGAAGAATCAGTACCAGCAGATCTACACTGTACAGACCAACCCAAAGTCTTGGGATTTGATGATGGGAGGGAAATAGTTGTATTGATCAGAGTTTTTCTATATCTACACAAAGTTCTTCCTTTATCATTGTTTTTCTCATGAAATTCCTCTCTCTTTTTTCCCTTCTCTTCCCCCCTTTCCTTAGGAAGTAGTAATTAGGAATTGGTATTTCTATCTATCTATATATTTTTCCCTTTTTTTTCTTATATTGTACATTTTTATACTCATTCCCCCCTTAGAAGTGTTAGGGCTACCTACTTCTGACCTTAAACTCTTCCTTAACCCCCAATTTTATGATAATGTATTAAATTTGTTCATTAATAACATTTTTAAAAATTCCACTCATAGCCCCATCCTTTTATGTACATAGCAGAAGGTACAGATTTTTGTTGTAGGGTTTTTTTTTCTCCTGTCTCTGAAGTTCTGATACAGCCAAAGATAAATTTCACATGGCCCTTGTGGCATATTTCTAGGGTGTTCCACTGATGGCATTTTAAATGGGATGTGAGCTTCACTACTGACCTGCATTCCCTCATTACATTTCAAGTTACAGATCAATCTGTCTTTCTGCCCAACCACCACCCTTTGCAGAGATATAGTGCTAATGTGGTACAGTATTACTMTAGAATTATCATTTTTCAAAAAAAAAAAAAAAAAACCCTGAACAAATAGAAAATTAAAAATAATGTATGATGTTTATATCTGCACAATCCAGTCACCGGACAAAACTCTTCTTTTCAGAGTCGCAATACTACTTTATGTGCAGGACTAGGGGTGCAGAATACTGGGGAGAGAAAGAAGTATTTGGGAGAAGGTGCTGAAYTTCCAGTGGGAATGGCAAAGTTGTCAGGAAACAAATCAGAGCTTAGACATACCTCAAAGAGAAAATAGCCATATTTACATCAGGAATAACAATAAACCCCAGCAGCAACAAACAAGGGTCAAAGCCCTGGGATTCGTGTCATTACTGGTTTGTGGGAGCACAAATAAGTATTGCAAAGAATTACAATCAGTGAAATCCCACACCTGAACACCCCACTACCTGCCAGAACCACTGGGAAGTCTAGAAAAAGCCCTAAAGCACATATATCAAACTTAAGGCCTGTGGGCCAAATTTGGCCCTCCATGTCATCTTAGGTGGACCTCCAGATGCTGTGCAACAACTCAATAAGGCCTTTAACAAAGTCCCCCATAATATTCATGCAAAAAAGTCAAATATGGTCTAGTAGCCAATGCTATTGTTAAGTGGACCTGTGATTGGTTAAGCAACCAAACTCAAAGAGTTCCTCTGCATCCTGGTTCTCTCCTGAGCCCAGTACTATTCAATATTTTATTAATGACTTAGTTTAGAGGGCATGCTTATCAAGTTTACAGATGACACCAAATTAGAAGGGACAGCTAATACCCTAGAAGACAGGCACAGAATTCAAAATGACCTCAAAAGATTAGAGATGGGTCCAAACTAACAAAATGAATTTCAACAAGGAGAAATGTAGGCTACTACACTTAGGCAAAAAATAAATAAATAATTAAATGCACAAATACAGGTTGGGTGACACTTGTCTCGACAAATGTGAAAAAGATCTTGGAGTCTTAGTGGCCAACAAGTTGATCATCAGCCAAGAATGTGATGCAACAGTTTAAAAATCCAATGGGATTTTGGGCTGCATCAAAAGGAATTCAGTGTCTATATGGAGGGAAATCATGGTGCTTCTCTATTCTGCTTTACTTAGACCTCATCTGGAATACTGTGTCCAATTTAACAATTTAAGAGAGATCATGACAAGCTGGAACGTGTCCTCAGAAGGGCAAACTGAGACCATGAATCCCTATGAAGAGCAACTTAAAGAGCTGGGGATGTTTGGCATGCAGAAGGGAAGGTTGAGAGGAGACATGATATTAAAGGTAAAGGTTTCCCCTGAAATTAAATCTAGTCATGTCCGATTCTGAGGGTGGTGCTCATCTCCATTTCTAAACCAAAGAGCCGGAATTGTCCATAGATGCCTCCAAGGTCATGTGGCCAGCATGACTGCCTCGAGTGCTGTTACCTTCCCACAGAAGTGGTACTTATTGATCTACTCACATTTGCATGTTTTCAAATTGCTAGGTTGGCAGAAGCTAGGACTAACAGCGGGAGCTCACCCCCACTCCCCCAATTCAAAACGCCAACCTTTTGGTCAGCAAGTTCAGCAGCTCAGCGGTTTAACCCACTGCACCACTGGTATCATGATACATGATAGTCATGTTTAAATATGTGAACGGCTGTCATAAGAAAAAGGGAACAGGCTTGCTTTCTGCTGTCCTGGAAACTAGGACTTGAGCAATGGATTCAAATGACAGGAAAGGAGATTCCATCTGAACATGCGGAAAAACTTCTTCACTGTGAGAGCTGTTCAGCAGTAGAGTTCTTTGCCTCCGAGTCTGATGGAAGCTCCATCCTCGAAAGCTTTTAAACAAAGACTGGATAGCAATCTGTCGGGGGTGCTTTGATTGTTCTTTACCTGCCTGGAGGGAGCTGGACTGGATGCCCATGTGGTTATGCTGGTGACTTTCTACCACTGTGATATGGAGAGTGTTCTAACCTACTACATCTGCACATGGTTTGGTAGCTGCACATAGTTTGGTAGTGGCATACAGGAAGGCGCTCCAAAGGGTCACCACTTCTGCACAGAAAATCATTGGTTGCCCTCTCCCTCTTTGGAATAGCTTTTTAATTCCCACTGCCTTAAAAAAGCTCAGAGCATTCTTGGGGATCCATCTCACATGGCATATATTTTTAAAAAAATTACTTCCATCTGGCAGACAGTACAGGGCGACAAAGACAAGGACAAAGAGACTGAAAGATAATATTTATCCTACAGCTGTGGTTATGTTGAATGCAATGTTTTATATGTTTTAATGTGCATTTAATTTTAATTTTTAGCTTAAATGTTTGCTGTCCAAAGGCAGTGAATAGTTGCCATATGTAATGCCGACTTGAGTCCCCTTCAGGGTAGATAAAGGCGGGGTACAAATAGAGTACAGTAACCCAAATAGAGTAAACAATGGGTTGCTGTACGTTTTCCGGGTTGTATGGCCATATTCCAGAAGCATTCTCTCCTGATGTTTCGCCTGCTTCTATGGCAGGCATCCTCAGAGGTTGTGAGGTCTGTTGTAAACTAGGAAGATATTGTAAACTAGGAAGATTCACACCTGCCTCGCACAGACAAGTGTACTTTCTCCCACCTTGGACATTTCACAGATATATAAACCCCATTTTCCTAGTTTCCAACAGACCTCACAACTCCTGAGGATGCCTGCCACTGATGCAGGCGAAACGTCAGGAGATAATGTTTCTGGAACATGGCCATACAGGCCGAAAAATTCACAGTAACCCAATGATTCCAGCCATGAAAAGCTTCGACCAAACAGAGTAAACTCTGTTGTACTCCATGGTTTCACGCTGATGCGGTGGTGGGCGTGTGGAAGTGTCACATCGGAAGGCAGGCTGCGGCCCTGAGTGGGCGGCCTTGGCCTTCCTTCCCTGAGGGGAGCCTCTCACCTCAAACATGAGCGAGACCAGGACGCAGAGCACCAGGCAGAAGCCGATGTCGGCGTGGTTGTGGATGAGGAACTCCTGGCTGAAGAGCGGGTGGCTCTTGGTCCGCCTCCGGAACGCCATAGCGGGCGAGCGTGCGGGCAGACCGCGGCCCCGGCGCCGCCAACTTCTCCCTGGCCGCCCCGGGGCAACTTCGCCAGCGGCTCAGACCGCGCCTCTAGCACCAGCCACTCTGCGCAGGCGCGGCGGGCGGGCGCCTGGTTGGCTGGCCCTCTGGCCAGAGGCCCCGCCCACTTCCGCTTAACCCCTGGCCTGCCAGAACGGGCCCAGGAGGCAGCCCGGCAGTTCCGACGGAGCGCCGCGTGGCAGGAGCAGCCCCTCCCTCCTCCCTCTCGCTCTCCCCCTCCCTCGCGGCAGGAAGTCTCGCGCGGACGACGAGCCCTCTGCAAAGAGGAGAGGCGCTCATGTCTCCAGCGCTGCTTTCGAACCCGGCTCTTTTGCGGCCTGTGTCCTTCCTTGGGCCCTTCCACACAGCCATATAACACAGAATATCAAGGCAGATACTTCACAATATCTGCTTTGAATTGGGTTCTCACTCTGGACCGTTTTCTGACCTACAAGAAGCACTGCCTGAACATCAAGCAAAAAGTGGGTGCTAGAAACAATATCATACAAAAGCTGACTGGCACAACCTGGGGATCACAACCAGATACAGTGAAGACATCTGCCCTTGCGCTATGCTACTCTGCTGCTGAGTATGCATGCCCAGTGTGGAACACATCTCACCACACTAAAACAGTGGATGTGGCTCTTAATGAGACATGCCGCATTATCACGGGGTGTCTGCGCCCTCCACCACTGGAGAAATTACACTGCTTAGCCGATATCGCACCACCTGACATCCGCCGGGAAGTAGCAGCCAATAGTGAAAGGACCAAGGCAGAGACATCTCCAGCTCATCCCCTGTTTGGGTATCAGCCAGCATGTCAACGACTTAAATCAAGAAATAGTTTTCTGAGATCTACAGAGACACTTGCGTATCAGCCACCACGTCAACGACTTAAATCAAGAAATAGTTTTCTAAGATCTACAGAGACACTCGCTGGAACACCTCAGCAAGCGAGAGTCCAAAAGTGGCAGGCTCAAACCAATGGCTGATACCCAAAGAGAGACTCCCCCCTGGGCACATAGAAGATTGGGCGACGTGGAAGGCGCTGAACAGACTGCACTCTGGCACCACAAGATGCAGAGCCAACCTCAAGAAATGGGGCCACAAAGTGGAATCCACGACATGCGAGTGTGGAGAAGAGCAAACCACTGACCACCTGCTGCAATGCAACCTGAGCCCTGCCACATGCACAATGGAGGACCTTCTTGCAGCAACACCAGAGGCACTCCAAGTGGCCAGATACTGGTCAAAGGACATTTAACCAACTACCAAGTTTGCAAAATCTGTGGGTTTTTTTTTAATCTGTGTGTTTGTTTTGTTCTGTTAGAAATGTAATACAATGGTATGGTTGCTGATGACACGATAAATAAATAAATATCATTGAGTAATATTGTATTATTATTACTAGTATATATTGTATTACATTATAATATTATAAATATTATATTTATATACAATATACTATATTATATTATTCAATTTAGCATCTTGGAGAACATCTTCTATCTATCTAAAAATGCACTGTGCATAATGAGTACCTTAAAAAAAAAAGAACCAATGAACGAAATCACACCAAATTTGGCAACAAAACGTCTCACAACACAAGGAGTGACCATCGCTCAACAAATTATGATTTTGTTATTTGGGAGTTGTAGTTGCTGCCATTTATAGTTCACCTACAATCACAGAGCATTCTGAACTCCATCAACGATGGAATTGAACCAAACTTGGCACCCAGAAATCCCATGACTAACAGAAAAAAATTGGAAGGGTTTGGTGAGCCTTGACCTTGAGTTTGAGAGTTGTAGTTCACCTACATCTAGAGAGCACTGTGGACTCAAACAATGATGGATCTGGTCCAAACTTGACACAAGCACTCAATACGCCCAAATATGAACACATATGGAGTTTGGGGGGAATAGACCTTGACATTTGGGAGCTGTAGCCACTGGGATTCATAGTTCACCTACAATCAAAGAACATTCTGAACCCCACGAACGACAGGGCAACCTTCCCACGCAGAACCCCCATGACCAACAGAAAATACTTAAGGCCATCCAATCCAACTCCCTTCATCAGGGCAAGAAAACGTAATCAAAGCCCTCCTGAAAAAGAGCCAGCCATAGATTAGATAGATAGATAGATAGATAGATAGATAGATAGATAGATAGATGTGATTCACACACAGATATAGTATCATAGATTTGAAAGGGACCCTTAAAGAAGGACGATATGTTACATGTTCCAGGGTGGGCAAACCAGACACTCTCCACATCAACACTGACAAAGAAACAGCAAGAAATACTGTTTACCCACAAGCATAAAGAAATTACATATATTACAACACTTTCTCATTATTTTCCAGATCAACAGACTGGCCACAGCAATGCGTGGCAGTGGACAGCTAGTATATTATATTATTATAGCATAATAATACTACTATTATTATATTGTACTATACCACTATGCTGTAATATTATTAGTAATATTACATGTAGTCTGTTGTTCATTTGTTCAGTCGTTTCTGACTCTTTGTGACTTCATGGACCAGCCACGCGAGAATTCCCTGTCAGCCGTCACCACCCCCAGCTCCTTCAAGGTCAATCCAGTCACTTCAAGGATGCCATCCATCCAACTTCCCCTTGGTCGGCCCCTCTTCCTCTTTCCTTCCATTTCCCCCAGCATCGTTGTCTTCTCCATTGTTGTCTTCTCCTCATGATGTGACCAAAGTACTTGAGATGTGTTTTAAATTTTGACAGCGCATTTAGCTACCAAAGCTCCACAGGAAGGTTGTTCCACAAGCGTGCAGCAGTCAATGAAAAGGTATCCTGTGGTTGCCAGTCAGGTTTTGGCTAGTTGGAGTAACTGCCCCCAGAGGACCTAAGTGTGTGGGGCGGATTGTACAGGAGAAGGTGATCCTTTAGGTAACCTGGATCCTAACCATGTAGGACTTTAAAGATCAAAACCAACACCTTGTATTCTGCCTGGAAATTAATTGGCAGACAGTGGAATTACTTTAGGATAGGTGTAATATGCTCACTCCTAGATGTTCCCATAACCAGTCTGGCTATTATACATGATATGTAAGATCTCATGTCATAGAATCATAGAGTTGGAAGAGACTTCATGGGCCATCCAGTCCAACTCCCTGCCAAGAAGCAGGAATATTGCATTCAAAGCACCCCTGACAGATGGCCATCCAGCCTCTGTTTAAAAGCTTCCAAAGAAGGAGCCTCCCCCACACTCCGGGGCAGAGAGTTCCACTGCTGAACGGCTCTCACAGTCAGGAAGTTCTTCCTTATGTTCAGATGGAATCTCTTTTCTTGTAGTTTGAAGCCATTGTTCCGTGTCCTAGTCTCCAAGAAGCAGAAAACAAGCTTGCTCCCTCCTCCCTATGACTTCCTCTCACATTTTTATACATGGCTATCATGTCTCCTCTCAGCCATCTCTTCTTCAGGCTAAACATGCCCAGCGCTTTAAGCTGCTCTTCATAGGGCTTGTTCTCCAGACCCTTGATCATTTTAGTCGCCCTCCTCTGGACACATTCCAGCTTGTCAATATCTCTCTTGAATTGTGGTGCTCAGAATTGGACACAATATTCCAGGTGTGGTCTAACCAAGGCAGAATAAACGGGTAGCATGACTTCCCTGGATCTAGACACTATGCTCCTATTGATGCAGGCCAAAATCCCATTGTCCTTTTTTGCTGCCACATCACATTGTTGGCTCATGTTTAACTTGCTGTCCACGAGGACTCCAAGATTTTTTTCACATGTACTGCTCTCGAGCCAGGCGTCCCCTATGTGTGTGTGTATTTGTGTGTGTGTGTGTGTGTGTGTGTATATATATATATATATATGATATTATGCAATATATATATTGTATGAAACTCTTCTAAAGAGTTGATTTAATCTCCGATTTGCTAATAAAACTGAAGACAGTTCCACATACAGCGCATTACAAGACGTGACTAAAATCTTTGCTCCCAAGGCTAGATCTGATGCCAGTAGGAACAAGAGGAGCTGTTGCACAAGCCTTAATGTACTGAAACCCGAGCGTCCCAAGTTTAGGCCTGGAACAAGGAGGACACTCAGCCTGTTAACCTGCCTCTTCAGAGGGATTGTGGCTCCACCAAGCTCAGGCTGCATCCCTCTCCTGGGCCTGCCTCCTCCTTCCCTGGAGCACAGAAGCACCAGCTTCCACATCCACTGCCCAAGACACAAGGAGTCAGACAAGGTGGGCTCTGCAGTGGCAGGATCCCTGGCCTCCTCTCCACTCGTCCTGGGCTTGGGGGGAGAGACAACGGAAGGACCACCCACCCAGAACACAGCATGCATCTCTTCCACACTTCCCAGTGCACACGCTATGCTCTTGTGGTTTGCTGGGTGGACTTTGAAAGAGGATAGGATGGAAACTCAGTCTGCCCATCTTCCTTTGAATGAAAAGCTCTCCTGCTGGGATGAATAGATCACCCACCAACTATGAAAGGAACTCGGAACATTCCTTTGTTCTCTATCAGCCTCTGGTGGCAATTTGGAAAATTGCATTGAATGTGCACAGATAAAAACAAATGAAGGCCTAATATTTTGTAAGACGATGCGGGGGGGGGGGGGGGGGGGAGGAGGGGGGAGAATGGAAGGAAAAAGGAAGAGGGGCCAACCAAGGGCAAGATGGATGGATGGTATCCTTGAAGTGACTGGCCTGACTCTGAAGGAGCTGGGGGTGGTGACGGTCGACAGGGAGCTGTGGCGTGCCTGGTCCATGAGGTCACAAAGAGTCGGAAGCGACTTACAGAATAAACAGCAGCAACATCCAATTAAGAACAAAGTTGAAGTTTATGAAACACTACAGGATTTTTGGGCACCTATAAGAATTAAGAAATACGTTCAACTGAATGCCTCAAATATTAAGAACCAATCAGATTTCAGAAGGAGATGTGGGAACGGTGCCTCACTACCTTAGGAACCAAAGAACCAAGACATAATTAAGAGCAGCTAAAGAAGGAAGACTCCAACATTAGACAAGGGATAGGGAGTGGGGAGATTCAGTGTTGGATCCTACCTTCCCTGCTTTTGAGGATGCTGTCAGTTCCCCATTTGCAGTCTCCTTTACACCCCCCCTCCCCCCGGTCTCCCTTTTCCCTTCCATTTTCCCCAGCATCATTCTCTTCTCCAAGCTTTCCTGTCTTCTTATTATATGGCCAAAGTACTTCATCTTTGCCTCTAATACCCTTCCCTCCAGTGAGCAGTCGGGCTTTATTTCCTGAAGTATGGACTGGTTGGATCTTCTTGCGGTCCAGGGCACTCTCCTCCAGCACCTGATTTAATTCCTTCTTCCTATTTCCTATCTTAATTAAACAGGCTGATTCCCAACAGGAGCCACGAGTTTCCTCCTCACCTGACGACTGGGACATCCGTAGGGATACCAAGGTGCTTGTTTATAAAGCTATTGTCCTTCCAACCCTGCTATATGCCTGCGAGACGTGGATTGTCTACAGACGTCACATGCAACTCCTGGAACGATTCCAACCGGATAATCCTGCAAATCTCTTGGGTAGACAAGCAGACAAATGTAGGCGTGCTGGAAGAAGCAAAGACCAACAGCACTGAAGCAATGGTCCTCCGCCATCAACCCTGGACTGGCCACGTTGTCTGGATGGCCGTCCACCATCTCCAAAGCAGTTGCTCTACACCGAACTCAAGAACGGAAAATTGAATGTTGGAGGACAGTAAAAGAGATTTAAAGATAGGCTCAAAGCCAACCTTAAAAACTCTGGCATAGACACTGAAAATTGGTAAGCCCTGGCCTGTGAGCACTCCAGCTGGAGGTCAGCTGTGACCAGCAGTGCTGCAGAATTTGAAGAGGCACGAATGGAGGGCGAAGAGAGAAAAGTGCCAAGAGGAAGGCCCGTCGAGCCAACCCTGACCAGGACCGCCTTCCACCTGGAAACCAATGCCCTCACTGTGGGAGAAGATGCAGATCAAGAATAGGGCTCCACAGTCACTTATGGACCCACCTTGGAGGATTATCCTACTCGGACAACGAGGGATCGCCTAAGTAAGTAAGCAAGCTAGATTTGGCACTTTCAGAATAATAAATGCTCATGCTCCCTTGGGGGGAGGGGGGTATTTCCTCATCGGGAAAGGTGCCTGTCCCTTTAAGAGACTGCTGGGCCAAGCCCCTTCCAAGGCCCTCCCTGACTGTGCGCTCCTTAAATAGAAACGGAGAAGCCCCGCCCACTTTGCGCTCAGGAAGCTCCGCCCCTTCTTCCTGAAGCGCGGCACATGCGCAGCAATACTTTCCCTGCCCTGGCGGGAAGAGGAGGAGGCTGAAGGTAGGCCTGTGAGGGGAGCACACAGAGGCGCTGCCAGATTCAGCTTTGGGTGAGGAGGGAGAGAGGGGTGGCTTCCCTTCACGACGGGCCACTTCACCCCTTCTTGGGGTCACGCAGAGCCCTCCCGCCTGAACCATTGAGCCAGGGAGGGAGGAAAGGTTTGTGAAGGCCAGCCAGTCACACAAAGCTCACCATCAGCAGCAACTAACTGCAGGGCTTCCTTCCAATGGACTCTGCAGGAGATGCTTCAGCTGCACTCCACAAAAAGGGAAACTCAGCAAGCTGTGCCAATGCTGGTTCATTTACAGGAAATATTTGGTTTTGGTTTTTGGGTCATATAGAAGGTTCTCAGGTGGAAAAGTTTAAGAAGCAAGCAGGCATGGGCAAACTCTGGCCTTCCAGGTGATTTGGACTTCAACTCCCACAATTCCTAACAGCCGAATTGTGGGAGTTGAAGTCCAAAACACCTGGAAGGCTAGTCTGCCCATGCCTGCTCTAAAGTCATGGCCGAAGCTGCCAATTTCTCCTTTCTTTTGTCATTGCAATAATTTTTGAATCTGTTTTCTGTTCACTTTCTGCTGTGGAAGATGCCTAGCTGTTGCAAGAACCAAGGGCCCTTCCACACAGCCATCTAACCCAAAAGATCAAGGCAGAAAATCCCACAATATATTCCCTGAATTGAGTTATCTGAGTCCACACTCCCATATACCCCAGTTCGAAGCAGATAATGTGGGATTTTATTCCGCTTTGTGGAAGGGGTCCTAGAAGGGCTTTTAAACAGAGGCTGGATGGCTATCTGTCAGGGGTGCTTTGATAGTGCTTTTCCTGCATGGCAGGGGGTTGGACTAGATGGCCCTTGTAGTCACTTCCAATGCTATGATTCCTAGCAATGGCTGCCCAATCTGCTTTGTATTCTGCCTCCAGATCTGTCTCTGCCAAGTCTCCCAGGGAGGACCGATGTGTTGGTTGGGAGAAAACTCTTCTTTCTGTCATTAGCTGTATTTGAGTTCAAAAATAAAACTTGCTAACAATAGCTAGGAGGAAACATATTCATTGTTCTTGTTGAGTAGGGGGTAGCAGGAGTTGAAGTTATTGTATTAATCATTTAATTTGTTAGTCTTTAAGAAATTCTAGAGGTGGCACCATTGCTTCCTAACTGGACTTCTTGTTGTCACCTCTTTCTAAAGTACTTTTTGTCAAACAGGCAGTCTCCAAATTACAAACAGGATTGGTTCTGTGAGTTAGTTCTTAAGTTAAATTGGTATGTAAGTTGGAACAGATACTCCAGCTCTGTGTGTGTGCGTGTGCGCGTGCATTCTCTCCCCCCCCCCCTCTCTCACACACACACATATATATAAGCAAGCTGTGGATAGTATAGGGAAGAGTGAACACCCCTGTGGTGTTTGTTTTGCTTCCTGTTCCTCTGTTCAGAAGATTTCATCTCACTTTCTGTCCTTGTGATAATTGGATTTTTACAAAAAGGCTTGTTGTGGAAACAAGGATTGGTGATAAAGCTTCAGGGGGACACCTTTCCCCCATGATAATAATTCTTTCAGGAGTTAATTTCCCTTCAACGGGTAGATTTTTATCACTTCCTGTTATCTCACCTGTGTTCTTAACTGAGAACCATTTGTAAGTCAGATGTTTATAACTGCCTGTATTTAGGTTACCTTCCCCAAACTGGCACGTTTTGGGTTCATTGGCTTATAAATCACGCTATTTGATTGGTGGGATTTAAAGTGCAGTAGCACTTTTGGAAATTGCCAGATTGAAGATTGCTTCCCTAAAAGCTTGGGCACTCATTCTAATGAGTTAGAAAAAAGGAAAAAAATGTGGGGGTGGGAAGGATACATAAGACATAAATTCTGGCCTGGGCAGTTACATTTACAAGTGCAATTATTATATTAACAGACACTGGCCAAGTGTCTAAAAAAAATTACTTGCCATTTACATCATTATAAATACACTTTTTATGTGGATGATGATTGGGGCTTTTTTTACACCCAGAGCACGCAGTCTCTAACCAAAGTCTCTGTAACAAGAACATAGTCTAAAAGTACATAATGTGTACCAATATCAACATTTTTTCTGATACAAAATTAACACACTTCAGTACAATCCAGAAAAAAAGGCACAGCTGAAAGAAAGCATTTCCTGCAACATTGAAATTGATACTTTTCCCCCTAAAAAGATGAAGTGATGTATAATATGCATGCAACAGCAGTTTATTGCTGAACCAAATGTACTTTCAAATCTAAAGAAGTTGATGGGGATCCTGTTTGGGAAGTAATCCCAGAGATCAGCTTTTTTAAACTCCTGAATTTGATTTGTGAATATCAATCTCTGAAACTGACAGCTAGCGATCAATTTAATCATTTAATGATGCTGCTCTTTCCAGAGTTTGAAAAAGCCTATCTTTATAATCTGAAGACTTCTTACTGTTTGTACTTCCACTTCAGAAAAATTTGTTATCCCCACAGTTTAAATCTCTGTGGTGTTATTGATAGTGGCGAGTACTGGTTGCCTTACTTCACCAGCATACAAGACTTGTAACTTGAACAGAGTAATGTCATTTTCTCCCTTCATCCCACCAGAGTTGTTGGCTTAGAGCAGGGGTCCTCAAACTAAGGCCCGGGGGCCGGATACGGCCCTCCAAGGTCATTTACCCGGCCCTCGCTCAGGGTCAATCTAAGTCTGAAATGACTTGAAAGCACACAACAACAACAACAACAACAACAATCCTATCTCATCAGCCAAGACCAGGCCCACACGTCTCATTGAAATACTAATAAATTTATATTTGTTAAAATTGTTCTTCATTTTAATTATTGTATTGTTTTAAAGTGTTTTTTTGCACTACAAATAAAATATGTGCAGTGTGCATAGGAATTCATTCATTTTTTTCAAATTATAATCCAGCCCTCCAACAGTTTGAGAGACTGTGACCTGGCCCTCTGTTCAAAACGTTTGAGGACCCCTGGCTTAGAGGGTTGGGAAGGGTTGCAATGTCCTTGTAGCAGAACATAGAATGCAATAAGGAAATGTACCAGTACAGGATGGATGACACTTGGCTCAAGAATGGTCCATGTGAAAATTATCTTGGGAGTCTTTGTGGACAACAAGTTGAACATGAGCCAACAGGGTGATACAGCAGCTTAAAAGCCAGTGGGATTTTGTGCTGCATCAAAAGGAATTTATGTCTAGATTCAGGGAAGTCACAGTGCCTCTATTCTGCTTTGGTCAGACCTCACTTGAAAGACTGTGTCCAATTCTGGGCATCACAGTTTAAAAGAGATATTGACAAGCTGGCCTGGAAAGTATCCAGAGGAGGGCAACTGAAATGATCAAAGATAAAGTTGGGGGGAGACATGACAGCCATGTTTAAATATCTGAAAGTCTGTCATAAGAAAGAGGGAGCAGGCTTGTTTTCCGCTACCCTGGAGACTGGGAACAATGGGTTCAAATGACAAGGAAGGAGATTCTACCTGAACATTAGGAATTGCAAGAGCTGTTCAACAGTGGGACTCACTGCCTCAGAGTCTGGTGGAAGCTCTTCCTTTTGAGGCTTTTAAACAGAAGCTGGATGACCTTTGCTTTTCTTACATGGCATGGAGTTGGACTGGATGGCCCATGTGGCCTCTTCCAGTTCACTGAAATGAGAGAGAGGCTTGGGTGTCTATAGCGTTCAGCTTCTTAAGGCAAACTCTGGAGTGTTCTTACTAAGGGCAGAGGTGGAGAGAAGCTTATATTTTCTGGTCATAAACACCAAGAGGAATCCAGCAGAGTCATTACTCCTCTTATGCCTGAATACAGCAGCCATCTTTAACTTGGTGTTATTGGAAGATACTCAGAAACACAGAAGTATTAATAAAGAGGTAGGGGTTTTTTTGGTATTGTTTAATGTGCAAGGATATGATTACGGCCAGGTGAAGGGATGGGAATAGGGTTCAAGAATAATGGAGAAGCCCCGTGCTTTCCACTTTCCTGCTGATATACCCAAACTATGGATAGTACTTTTGAAAAATGCCTCAGTCCTGTGCAGGTCTTTTCAGAAGTTAGCCGTATCCATAAAAATGTTATTTTCTCACTCTCTCAACTGAAATAGATTTGTTTTTACTTACGTTTTCAGCAGATACTCACTTCCTTTGGAAAGCCTTTGAAGATGTTGGAAAGAAAAGGACAGGAAGAAGCTCCTTCATCTATCCCCTAGGTATGAAGATAAATCTTAGTGTTTCTTTTTAGTTCCCTTATACAGGGTGAGGCAGCATAACTTCCTTTTTTCAAAACTTAATAAAACCCATTGTATGAATCAGATTTTTTTTTATAATGTTGGCGCATACCTAAAGTTTTGTTTTACGTAGTTTAGAAGATCAAATTAGGTCGGTGATGTCCCCCATTCTCCATACACTGAGTAAACCGATTTCTGGCGTTTGTCATGACTATTTCCAGCATAGCAGGCATTATGTTGGCAATTTCTTCCTGGATGTTGGTCTTCAAATCTTGTAGGGTCCTTGGACGGTTCACATAAACACAAGATTTCAAAACACCCCATTGAAAAAAATCACAAGGGGCTAAATCTGGAGAGCGGGCCGGCCACTCCAAATCCGCTCGAAAAGTAGGCCTCAACGGCAAAAGCGCGCTCTTCACTGTTCCAACGCATGATGGCGACTGAACTGTGTCAGGGCAAAACTTTAAACTCCCGCCTCTTGAACGAGACCACTAGTGCTCCGCTACATCTTCAACCGACTAAATGGCGCGCATTTTAAAAAAGGAAGTTATGCTGCCTCACCCTGTATAACTTCAAAACAGCAGTTTAAGCAAAGAAATTATAGAAGCTTCACTTTTCCGATAGTTTCTAAGATAGATGTTATTTCTCCAGATTGCACTGAATTATGATGTGGGACTCTTGCTCCATTTTGTAGGTTCGAGGCAATACATTCAAAACTTACCTGTGACAATTTTAATTTCTCACTATACTGCAGAACAATAAACAGTATTTTAGCATCGAGGTTATTTACCGGGTTCAGTACCTCTCAAAAAGTAATCCTCAAGTGGTTGTTCCATTTAAGAGTAAACGGTTACATGGAACTCCCCAGTTCAAGAGTGGAACAACCTTCGCGTAGCTTCTTGAGCAGAGACTGCAACGGAGAGACCTAGTCCTTTCTGATTCTTGGGTTTAAGATTCATTGACGGAGAAAAGGACTCTTGGGTCATCCAAAAGGGGAACTCAGTCGTTGTAGATATTATCATCATGTTTTCCTGCTGAGGAAGTTCCAGAGGAGGCAAATGTTATTTGTACAGCCGCCTTCCATTTCAAGCTGCATCTGTACTGACAGCTTTCTCTAAGGCACCATCTACACTGCCATATAATCCAGTTTCTGAATGCAGATTGACTGCGTTGAACTGCATTATATTGCAGTGTAGATCCAGCCTGATAGGGGATGTTCACTTACCTGTGTTTCCTTAATCATTGCATATGGTCCTGTCCCATCCTAACCCATCACGTGCCTCCACTATCATACCCTGCAATGTAGCACTCGCAATCTCAGCTAAAGCACTAAAATATTTGTTGTCTTCTTGTCCCGTTGACAGAAAAAAGGGTCTACATTACCTTCAAAAGAGTGCAACTTACATAGTTAGTACAGCCACATGGTGCCATGTGAACCTGCCTAATAATATCCTGTGTTCGCTAGACCAATTTTCATTCACATTGACTGTAAAATCCACAGGAGTGCATTTCAAGACTGGTAAGGGAGTTCCAAGATTACGTCAATGTACTTTCAGCCTTTGTTGTGTACCATAATTCACCATGTAACCGTTGCACTACTAATCCCCTTTTTCTTTCTGAAAAAAGGGGGGACCATTATGTGAAAAAATGTGTGGAGCTGGCTGGGTCTGAGGCTTTCCAACTCTTATAAGGAAAGAGAAAGGAAAACCCTACCCAGCCTTCTCCTCAGTATGGCAATTTTAAATAAGAAATACAAAGGGAGCTGGAAGGGTCTTCTCCCTCCTGCCTCCTTGGAAGTAAGAGGCGGAGTGCCCTGACGCAGCCACTCCATTTGTATTTTCTTTTAAAAACTATCTTACCAGGGAAAAGGGAGAGCCCCAGCCTTTCCAGCTTTAATGCGAGGATTAAGAGTGGAAAGGTGAGAAACCAATTTTGAGACCTCAAAAATGGGGTGCAACTATTATACAGTTGTGGTTACTGTGCGGTGAAATACAGTAATTGCCAAAGAATATTGTTCTTATTTCTAAAATGTACACTTTTCTTGTGTTGATGAGTTTGCTTTTGAGAAATGATACTTTGGCAAGCAAACTTAAGAATATTGATTGATGAGTTGGGCAAAATTGGTTTTCCTTACCACAGATCTTGGCAACCTTTTGAGCTGTGAAGGCCACAGTGATAGGAGCTGCAAACATGTGCCCAAATGCATATAGATGTGCTGACAATTTTTGTGTTTCGGAGCAGGATTACTGCTTCTCAGTGGCCAGTAGTATGGAAACAGCAATCTCATCTGCTTCAAGGCCACTGAAGAAGGGAGAGACTAGAGTTTGTGTTTTTTGTGTTCAAACCTGATTGGAGTTTGAATTAATGGAAGCATTAATCCCATCTGCAAAGTATGCCAAGAATGTTTTTGATCTACACAAATATTACTTGTCTGTCTTTACACAGGCTATGCAATATACCTTTTTACTGAAGCAAAAGATGCTGGATGTTGGGAAGTGGCCAATATTTGCTTTTCGCTCACCAGAGGAATTAAAGCTGATTCGCCAGGCCTGCATTTTTGGCAGCGCAGGCAATGAAGTAATTTATGTTACTGGAAATAATGAGGTAATTTCTGGAGACAAGGTTGTGAAATGTAATTTGTCTGTATGCTATATATCAGATTGTGGGTACAGAGAGTCCCTGAGTTACAAACATCCGACTTACAAAGGACTCTTAGTTAAAAACGGGGGTGAGACAACAGGAAGTATGAGAAATCTACTCCTCGGAAGGGAAATTCACCCCTGAATGAGTTACCATGGGGAAAGGTGTCTCCACTGAAGTGTTTTCATCAATCCTTGTTTCCACAATAAGCCATTTTTTTAATCCAATGATTGCAGGAACAGAAAGTGAGGTGAAATCCTCTGAACAGGGGCACAGACAGCAAAACAAGCACCACAAGGGTGTTCACCCTTCCCTATACTATCCAGTCTCTCTCTCTCTCTCTGTGTATACATACATACAAATTCAAATTAAAAACAAACCTAGAGAACTTATCTTTGTAACTTCAGGACTACCTGTCTTCTTCTATATTAAAATATATTGTTCATTTGTGGGATTACCATAACTCAAAAACCACTAGACGAATTGACAACAAATTTGGACACTTCACCCCTAACAGACCAACAAGTGACCAGCACTCATAAAAACACTGAAAAACACAGCAGAAGAGACTTAAAAAGCCAAAAACCAAAAAATACATTACAATGCATGCGCAAAACCACATATATACACAAACACACATATACACACACATACACAAATATATACACACACATATATGCATATATACACACACAAAACACATACAGACTGGGCCATAGCAACGCATGACAGGGGACAGCTAGTATTCCATAAATCTATGCAATTTGTGAGACTAGTGCCTTCATAATGCCTAGCTTTTTTATCTGAGTGGAAGACAGTACATGAGAATAAGTGATACTGAGTAAATGTTCTTAATTTGAACATAATTTTATTTGATGTCAAACTTTTCTTCAAGCTAAATATGTTTTTTCTGTTTTTTCAGAATATAGAGTTAAGATAGAACTGAGATGGCAAATTTTCAACCATGTTTATTGAGAAATTATTATACATGCAGGATGGATCTATGCTGCCTTGTAATTAATGCAGTTTCAGAATGCAGAATAACTGCATTGAACTGCATTATATGGCAGTGTAGACTCAAATGAGATCATTCCATGCGGATAGTCTGCATTCTGAAATGGCATTATATTGCAATGTAGATCCAGGCGAAGTTAATGGTAAATTTTCTACTTGCTAAGGTAAATGCTAGTATAATAATATATATATTTATGTATTTTATAAATCCGTACTGATGGTGTCACTATGTGACAGGTTTTTGCCCTTGGCACTAACTGCAGTGGCTGTTTGGGAATTGGTGACACACAAAGCAGCATTGAACCCCGGAGATTAGATATTTTATGTGGCAAAAAAATAACTTGCCTCAGCTATGGAAGTGGGCCTCATGTTGTTGTAGCAACTGCTGGTAAGTTGTGTACTTAAATGTGATTGTCCTGTTAGAAAAATCCCTGACAGTGAGATTTTAAATTGTAAAAAAAGAACAGTTATCCAAGTTTTTATTGCTTCTACAAATATTTGTGGTGCGTCTCCCTTCCCACCTAATGCTGTGTAGTTCCAAAGAGATCGCTCTTATTGGTAGGGTTAGAACAGAAAGACTGTTCTATAGAAAAAGCTAGAAAATGTGCTACATCATACTCTTATCTGTTCAGTCCACCGTACCAGTTAAAGTGCGATTATTTCAGGATCCACTTTGTTAGGAGAAACATCTGTTCCTTTCGAATGTAGTTCTGTTGGAATCTAAATGACATTCCATGTGTTTTAATTTTTGAATACACATGAGACCTTACATTTTAATAGTTTGAGGGGGAAATGGCAGTGCCTGTTGTGGTTCTGAGTATTCTAAAACAACTCAGTTCATTTTTTTTTCTGATAAGAGCTGCTCAGAAATCCCGCAGGGAGAGTAAATGAAATGTGACTGATTTCTTGAGACATAAACAGAGAAAAACAGCATTTGGGGCTGCCTCTTGATGAGGATGGAGTGCCAGCAGGCCTACTACTCCAATGGATTCAATATAGCAAACATGGATGACAAGTTGGATAAATATCCGAATAAGTGGGGTTAAGGAACAGCGAGATTGGAATGGCTACCCTGTTTGTTCTTTTAAGGAAAAGGGAGGTGATGACATAAAACCTAAAAGATTAGTCTTTTTAGCTTTTGCTCTTCATTACACCCCTTGTGGCAGAAATCTTCAACTAGATAAAATGCTATTCCTTAAATTACATGATTAGGATAAGTGTAATTTTTTAAACAGTGAGAAAAGGGCCACATACCTTTATATTTCCCTATATCCATGTTTGTGTCAGCCATTCTTCCTTCTATTAAAGTATACACACGACAGAATTGAAATATTAATATCAGTTGTGATCTATGTAAGCATTAAATCATACAAGAGAAAGTTTATAAACAACTCTTTGTGGCAGAAAATGATTTAATCTTCATGTACACATGAGAAATTATATTTTCTGATTTTGTCTTTCGGACTAAGTGAATAGCTGTGTGATATAGCCATTTGTTGGTACTCCCTTTTAAAATTCTTTCCTTATGTTACAGAAGGGGAAGTATATACCTGGGGCCATAATGCTTACAGTCAGCTAGGAAATGGAACAACAAATCATAGTTTACTGCCTTGTCAAATCTCTACCAACTTGGCAAACAAGAAAGTCACTGAAGTAGCCTGTGGCTCCCATCATTCTATGATCCTAACTTCTGATGGAGAGGTGAGACAAGCTGTCATTACTTTATGCAAGTTGCTTTTGAACTTTGTCTAATATAGAAAGAAGCAAAAAATTCTATATGTGATGAAGTTAGGATGAAACTTGTGTACTAATAGATATCAGACGTGTTACTAGGAACTACTAGCATTTGCAACTGGTGTTGCTCAGATGTCATTGGGACCACTGATACTTTTTATAAAACATTAGTGTCTGTACCCAACGTTGCTCAGATATGCATTTCTCGGAGGTTAAGATCATCTGGGGAGGCCCTGCTCTTGGTCCCACCTCCTTCGCAGATGCGGTTGGTAGGGACAAGGGACAGGGCCTTCTCAGTGGTGGCCCCTCATCTATGGAACTCCCCAGAGAAATCAGGTCATCCCTCTCCTTCATGGCCTTCAGAAAGAAAGTAATAACATGGCTCTGGGACCAAGCCTTTGGCCAATAGTGTAGTGCAATAAGTGAAGAGGAATTATGCACAGTAATCACCGGAACAGCTTTTGACGATGTCTTCGGATGGCATGATTTTAATAATGCATTTTAATGTTTATATTGCTTTTATTTTTTGTTTTAATGTATTTGTTTATTTTCTTATATGTTTGTTAATATGGCATTGAATTGCTGCCAATTGTAAGGCTGTTCTGAGTCCCCTTCAATGTGAGGGCGGGATATAAATATAGTATAAATAATAAATACATTTTCTAGTACGGATATTCATAAAATCATAAAGTTTACAATGGGAATTTGTAATAAACAGCATTAGAAAATGCATACACAATCAACATTGGATACATAGGCTAGTACAATTATAAAATTAGGGAGAAAATATTACAAAAAAAATGCAGTGGTGGCAAATCGGAGTGTTTATTACTGGGGACTTTAAAAAAAATAAGATAGGCCAATTAGATTTTTTTGCAAAATATGTTATAATTTGGCATTTGGCATTATAACATTGTGATACAATTTCAGTCTCTTCTTAACAGGTGTATACATGGGGCTATAATAACTCAGGGCAAGTTGGATCTGGGTCAACGGCAAATCAGGCAATCCCTAGAAGAGTTACTAGCTGCTTACAGAATAAGATAGCAATCAACATTGCTTGTGGCCAGATGTGTTCGATGGCCGTGGTGGACAATGGAGAGGTAAAATTATTCTTTAGCATTACCAAGTCAGTTGCTTTGTCTTGTGAGTTACGTAATTCTTGTCTATTGTATAATGTTGTAGACCAAATGGTTGACATTGTTCCCTTTGGATATTACCATAGGCAGTGCTCGTAATTGAGACGCGTGTTTATATTGTTAGAGTTTTTTAAAAGATGCATAATTGTGTGGAGTTAAGGGTGCAGGATCTCCGCAAAAGTGGGAAAATGCAAATATGAATTAAAATTGTGAATCGGAATTATATACATAACAAATAACTAGTATAGGAGGCTTGTAGAAGGTTGCCAGTTCCAACAGGCATTGGCTGTCTTAATTCTAATGAATAGACATTCCTTAAGATTACTCCATAGGCACTGTAGTGAATTTTGCATGCCTGTTCCTTACACTTGAATATTGATTGTAATGGTCTTCTTTTCGAAGGTTTATGTGTGGGGTTACAATGGCAATGGGCAGCTTGGACTGGGCAATAGTGGAAATCAACCAACCCCTTGTAGAATAGCAGCTTTACAAGGCATCCGTGTGCAACGGGTATGTGTTCTTCATCTTCTTATCCAGGCCTTTCTAAAAACACAGTGTATTAGCTCTGTATTGGGTTAAACCAGGGCTCCTCAAACTTTTTAAACAGAGGGCCAAATCATATCCCTCAAACTGTTGGAGGGACGGATTATAATTTGAAAAAAGCATGAATGAATTCCTATGAACACTGCACATATCTTATTTGTAGTGCAAAAAACACTTAAAAACAATACAATAATTAAAATGAAGAATAATTTTAACAAATATAAACTTACTAGCTGTGCCCTGCCACGCGTTGCTGTGGCCTATAGTAAAACTTATCAAAGTTGAGGTAGATATCTGGACTATTATGTGTGTGCAGCGGCGGGGGGAATGATGGAGCCTGGGGTTGCGTGTGTGTGTGCGGCGGCGGGGGGAGTGGGGTTGCGTGTGTGTGTGTGTGCGGCGGCGGGGGGAGGGAGGGCTTGTGTGTGTGCGGTGGCGGGTGTGATGTAGCGTGGGGTTGCGTGTGTGTGTGCGGCGGCGGGGGGAATGATGGAGCCTGGGGTTGCGTGTGTGTGTGCGGCGGGGGGGGAGTGGGGTTGCGTGTGTGTGTGTGCGGCGGGGGGAGTGGGGTTGCGTGTGTGTGTGCGGGCGGGGGAAGTGATGGAGCGTGGGGTTGCGTGTGTGTGTGCGGTGGCGGGGGGAATGATGGAGCCTGGGGTTGCGTGTGTGTGTGCGGCGGCGGGGGGAGTGGAGGGGTTGCGTGTGTGTGTGCAGCGGCGGGGGGGGTGGGTGCGTGTGTGCGGTGGGGGGGGGGATGGGGCGTGGGGTTGCGTGTGTGTGTGCAGCGGCGGGGGGAGTGATGGGGGGTTGTGTGTGTGTGGCGGCGGCGGGGGTGATGGAGTGGGGTTGCGTGTGTGTGTGCGGCGGCGGGGGGGAGTGATGGAGCGTGGGGTTGCGTGTGTGTGTGCGGCGGCGGGGGGGATGGAGCGTGGGGTTGTGTGTGTGCGTGCGGCAGGGGGTGTGTGTGTGCGGGAAGCGGCGCGGCGGGGCTTGGAGTGGGCATGGCTTCTGCAGAGGGAACGTTGGCCGGAAGGCTGTGTGCGCGCGCCAGGGAACTTGCGGCTGGGCACCAATGCGCATGCTCAGTTGTTTTGCCGTTTTGTGAGTGTGTTGTTGTGTTGTTTTTCATTTTGAGTAGATATGTTTGTACCTTGTGGGTTGTGTTATGGGCATGGGAATTTTGGTTAAGTTTCGTTGGGGGATTTTTGAGTTTTGTTGTTTTGCCATTTTGTGAGTGTGTTGTTGTGTTGTTTTTCATTTTGAGTAGATATGTTTGTACCTTGTGGGTTGTGTTATGGGCATGGGAATTTTGGTTAAGTTTCGTTGGGTTTTTTGAGTTTTGTTGTTTTGCCGTTTTGTGAGTGTGTTGTTGTGTTGTTTTTCATTTTGAGTAGATATGTTTGTACCTTGTGGGTTGTGTTATGGGCATGGGAATTTTGGTTAAGTTTCGTTGGGGTTTTTTTGAGTTTTGTTGTTTTGCCGTTTTGTGAGTGTGTTGTTGTGTTTTTTTTCATTTTGAGTAGATATGTTTGTACCTTGTGGGTTGTGTTATGGGCATGGGAATTTTGGTTAAGTTTCGTTGGGGGGTTGTGGAGTTTTGCTGTCCGATTGAACCAACCTAACAGATTTATATATATAGATTAGTATTTCAATGGGAAGTGTGGGCCTGCTTTTGGTTGATGAGATGGGGTTGTTTTTGTTGTTGTTTTTGTGTGCTTTCGAGTCGTTTCAGACTTAGGTTGACCCTGAGTGAGGGCCGAGTAAATGACCTTGGAGGGCCGTATCCGGGCCATAGTTTGAGGACCCCTGGGTTGGCAGTTTGAATCCCCTCGGGTGAGTTCCTCTCTGTCAGCTCCTGCTTCCCATGTGGGGAAGCCTCCCACAGGATGTTGAGACATCCGGGCATCCCCTGAGCCAATTCTCTCACACCAGAAGCGACTTGCAGTTTCTCAAGTTGCTCCTGACACGAAAAAAGCTCTCTAATTCATCCTGTATAATATTACCAAACTAACTCTCAAAGTGTGCTTTGTCTTCATGCACACAAGAGAAGTGTCAGCCAATTGAGGAAATCCAAGCACTATAGTCTTTTTCCAATGAGTCATGCCATTTGAGGTGGAACTAGCAGCTTATATGTTTTCTTCTTACATGCATTTTTCTTTTAAAGGTTTTGTTTATCAATCCAAAAAAAATATCCTCGAGACCATGTTTGATAGTTTTTACAGGAAAAAAAAAGGAACCCTGCCTACTCTTTTCTTGCTCCTCATGTCTCTAAGCTCAGCCACAAATGTCTGCCTGTGGTACTGGCATGGGAGGCAAGGCCTGGCTCAGACAAGGCGGTGGTCAGACATTATTTGACTTTCTTTTCTTTCCTAGGTTGCCTGTGGCTATGCACACACCCTAGTGCTAACAGATGAAGGTCAGATGTATGCCTGGGGAGCCAATTCCTATGGCCAATTGGGCACTGGAAACAGAAGCAACCAGTCATACCCCGTGCCAATCACTGTGGATAAAGACAGGTAATAATCCATTCATAATTAATCATCATTTCAATTAGACATAAATATATGAGAATGTAAGAAAAAGTATACCTGTTGTATTGCCTGAATCAAAAGTAGGTAGGCCCGCATAAAAATGCTTTAGAAAGTCAGAAGAGGGCGACTTAGCACTGGAGGATCGCTCAGTTTTTCCTTATTTCCTCAGCAATTTTACCTTCCTCTTCATTATATTGTAAGGTTATAGATTTTCATTTTGCAAGTTAGAACTGTGAGCTATGATCATAGTTATTTTTCTTTAAAGACCTAAATCATGCAGTTCACTTGCATTTCTGGACATCCAACTGCTGTTTTTCCACTGCAATTCTAAACTGGTCAGAATTGTGAAGGGTGATCTCAGGGAGAGAAGATCTCTGGGTGGGACACCTAGTTAATTTCCCCTCTTGCTACTTCTCTTATCTACCTGTAAATAATAATAATAGTAATAGTAAATTTATTTATACCATCTCCCCAAGGGGACTCGGAGCAGCTGAATCCTGAGCGGTTGAGAAACAAAATCAAACAGTTCAAAATCTTGATTTGTCTGTTGTGCTTTTGGATACTCAAAACTGGAAAGGATAGAGCATCCTCCTCAGGAGGGAGGACAAAGCATCACAAGGACATTAAATTTTGAGGTCCTGAGAGGTCTATAGCAGGGGTCCTCAAACTAAGGCCCGGGGGCCGGATACGGCCCTCCAAAGTCATTTACCTGCCCCTCGCTCAGGGTCAACCTAAGTCTGTAATGACTTGAGAGCACACAACAACAACAACAACCATCATCCTATCTCATCAGCCAAAAGCAGGCCCACACTTCCCATTAAAATACTAATAAGTTTATATTTGTTAAAATTGTTCTTCATTTTAATTATTGTATTTTAAAAATGTTTTTTGCACTACAAATAAGATGTGTGCAGTGTGCATAGGAATTCATTCATGCTTTTTTCAAATTATAATCCAGCTCTCCAACAGTTTGAGGGATTGTGACCTGGTCCTCTGTTTAAAAAGTTGGAGAGACTGCAATTCATTCTTCTGTGTCTGAAAATAGAAAGCAGAAGCAGAGATCAGACACCACTCCCAAAACGCAAATCATCTTCTTTTTTCAAAGTGACATGGCCCTTTATAATGAGGGATCAGAGAAAGAGACTGTTTTACAAATACGTACTAGTTTTGTAGTAGACCTGATGCTTGGGCACTGACCAACTGTATCCAGGCTTTGTCACTGCATGTTATTCTCACACGACTGTTTCTTCTGTTTGCTTTTACATGTAGAGTCATAGAGATTGCTGCATGCCACTCTGCTCATACTTCTGCTGCTAAAACCCAGGGTAGCCAGGTGTACATGTGGGGTCAGTGCCGGGGACAGTCTATCAGTCTTCCATACCTCACCCACTTCGCCTGCACTGATGACGTGTTTGCTTGTTTTGCTACTCCTGCGGTGACTTGGCGTCTTCTTTCAGTAGGTGAGCTTCAAATGGGGTTTGTCTGCATTACTACATCTTATTTTGTTCTTGAAGTTATCTAAATATTTGGTGTGCCTTGGATCTCAATTTGGTGAAGAAGCAAGTCGCAATCCCTAGATTTATTTAAGTCTACTTCTGTTTCCTATTTACAATAAAAAAACAGGTCCTTTGTGTACTTAAGAATGACTCCCTGGTCTAATCTGTCAGGAAATCCTTTCAGTCTAGTGTACTCTGGATATACTAAAAGTTAATTAACAGTTGGATAAAATATCAAATGCTGCTTTTGCAGTTGGGAAGAAAAAGAGCAGAAGGGTGCAATTCCTTCTACCTTTTTGGGTGGGTCTCTATCCCAAATAATAATTAGAAGGTTTTCAGTATTAATCAGTTCAAATCTGTACGATTTCATGGAGATTACCAGATTTCAGGTACTTTTGAATTAGTGTCCGATTTGCCCTGGGATTACTTATGCGATCCCCCGTTGGCCGAGTAGGATAGTCTTCCAAGATCAGAATTCTTGTGAGTCTGTAGGTGGCTGTGGAGCCCTATTATTGATCTGCATCTTCTCCCACAGTGAGGGCATCTGTTTCAAGGTGGAAGGCGGTCCCCGTCGGGGTTGGCTTGACGCGCCTTCCTCTTGGCACGTTTCTCTCTTTCACCCTCCATTCGTGCCTCTTCAAATTGTGCAGCACTGCTGGTCACAGCTGACCTCCAACTGGAGCACTCAAAGGCCAGGGCTTCCCAGTTCTCAGTGTCTATGCCAGAGATTTTAAGGTTAGGTTTGAGCCCATCTTTAAACCTCTTTTCCTGTCCACCAACATTCTGTTTTCCGTTCTTGAGTTCGGAGTAGAGCAACTGCTTTGGGAGACGGTGGTCGGGCATCCGGTCCAGCGGCATTGATGGCCCATCGCTTCAATGCTGGTGGTCTTTATTTCTTCCAGCACGCTGATGTTTGTCCATCTCTCTTCCCAAGAGATTTGCAGGATTTTCCGGAGGCAGCGCTGATGGAATAGTTCCAGGAGTTGCATGTGACATCTGTAGACAGTCCACGTTTCACAGGCATATAGCAGGGTTGGGAGGACAATAGCTTTATAGACAAGCACCTTGGTCTCCCTACGGATGTCCCGGTCCCCAAACACTTTCTGCTTCATTCGGAAAGATGCTGCACTCGCAGAGCTCAGGCGGTGTTGTATTTCGGTGTCGATGTTGACTTTGGTAGAGAGGTGGCTGCCAAGGTAGCGGAAATGGTCAACATTTTCTAATGTTACACCATTAAGCTGTATCTCTGGCATTACAGAGGGGTTGGCTGGTGACTGCTGGAACAGCACTTTGGTTTTCTCGATGTTCAATGACAGGCTTCTGATATTACTGGCATGATTGTCCTTGTTTGACACATTTCCATGCATCTTCCAGGCGCACCTGTGAACAAATCTACATACTGTTTCACAATGTTTAAGGGATCGACCTTTTAGGTACATGAAAAATTGGGGGTATTTATTTCAAATATGTTAATGGAGCCACTAATGGCCCCTGAACCCTAGCTATCCCCAGCTACTAGGGGTAAAGCTGCTGCCTTCCCGGAAGCTGCTTTTACTCCTATTCAGAAGCAAAGCAGGGTATAAAATAAATGTAAGTAAATATACTGAAAATTCACATCAAAAAATGCAAGCAAGCCAAGAATTTAAAAATTTAATTTTATGCAGTTTAGTAGCACATCTCACATAGGATACCTAAGCAAGCAACAGAGAAATTTTTTTAGAGCTTTTCTAGAAGCGCAATTCAGTTGAGAAGCTGCCACAAAATAACGGTGTAGCTATTTCAAGCTGCTCTAGAAACAGAAGGGAGGGAAACGGGAAATGAAAAGTGATGACAGTGAGATTGTAGTGGCTTACTTTTGTTTACAGGACAGGAAACTAATTGCTAGTAGAATCAAGAAGTTGAAGATGACAAATGTAAAGTACGAACAGAAAAAAATGCTCTAGCTTTCCTTAAGCATTGCTGAAATACAAGAACTGGGCAAGGAGGATCATTGGCATCTGGTTAAAACTTAAAAGGAAGTGTGGGGAGGGGGGAGGCCTAGACCATTGAGTGGCTTTGCTGACGGGGTGAGCAAATTGTGACTGCTTGCTGCATGTCTCTCCAAGGCCTTTTTCTGAGACCATTCAGTAGTCTCCCCTCGCAGTGCTGTATCACAGAAATAGACATCTGCCATATCTGCCAAATGTGTCCCACCTCTCTCCCTTTCTATGTTTTTTACTGGAAGTAATTTGATTTGGTAGAGTGCAAGAGTAGAGTCCTCATTGGGAGCTGCAGAGATTTAATAGGTAAGTTGCTGCCAGCAGGTTTGCATCTGAAATTAGTTAGTGTGTTCTGACAGAATGTCTCACTGTCTTGTGAACCTCTGTGAGCTCGAAGATCAGTTGTGAACAAGCATAACAGAACAGTAACATGGTCCTGAAAATGTGATCATCAGGTGCACTACAAAGATATGGTCATAGAAAAGAAGGTTGTCAAAGCTTCAGGTGGAATTCAAAATACTATTTTTAGAAAAAGTCACTTGTATTCTCATAATTCTCACTGATAGGTGACATAGTGCTGCTTTAATCAAGGGAAGGCAGGTACTGTCAATTTCAAGTATAGTATAAAGAAGGTGGAAATGTTTCCTTCTTTATTTCCACAAAGGATTTATGTGAAGGACTTTCAAATGTACCTTAGCATAGTTTATGAAGTCAGCACTACACAATAGTAGAAATAGTCTTTTCCAGCACCGTGTGCATTTCCTATTTAAGAAATTTATTTATTTATTTATTTATTTATTTATTTACGGCATTTATATAAACATTTATAAATAAAATTATATATAAAATATATATAAAGACACTGTTAACATTAACATGCATGAGGCCAACGAGTGACCATAACTCATAAAAACACTGAAAAACATAGCAGAAGAGACTTAAAAAGCCAAAGAACCAAAAATTACATTACAACGCATGCGCAAAACCACATATATACGCGAACACACATATACACAAATATATACACACACAAACACAGACTGGGCTACAACAACTGGGCCACAGCGTGGTAGGGGACAGCTAGTCTATATAAATAAAAGTGTAATGTTCATTTGTGATCCCACAAATATAACATAACATAACTCCAAAACCACTCGACGAATTGACACCAAATTTGGACACGGGACACCTAATAATGCAAGGAGTGACCATCACTTTAAAAAAATTGATTTTTTATTTGGGAATTGTAGTTGCTGGGATTTATAGTTCACCTACAATCAAAGAGCACTCTGAACTCCAACGATGGAATTGAGCCAAACTTGGCACACAGAACTCCCATGAGTAACAGAAAACACTAGAAGGGTTTAGTGGGCATTGACCTTGAGTTTGGGAATTGTAGTTCAACTACATCCAGAGAGCACTGTGGACTCAAACAATGATGGATCGGGACCAAACTCTACATGACTACTCAATATGCTCTAATGTGAACAGTGGTGGAGTATGGGGGAAATAGAATCTTGACATTTGGGATTTGTAGTTGCTGGGATTTATAGTTCACCTACAATCACAGAGCATTCTGAACCCCACCAATGATAGAAATGGGCCAAACCCCCCACACAGAACCCCCATGTGGGCCACAGCAACATGGGGGAGGGGACGGCTAGTCTATATAAATAAAAATGTAATGTTTGTTTGTGGGATTAACATAACTCAAAAACCACTGGACAAATTGACACCAAATTTGGACACAATACATCTATCAGGCCAACGAGTGACCATCACTCATAAAAACACTGAAAAACACAGCACAAGAGACTTAAAAAGCCAAAAAACAAAAAATACATTACAACGCATGCGCAAAACCACATATATACGTAAACACACATATACACAAATATATACACACACATAAACACAGACTGGGCTACAAAAGCTGGGCCACAGCAACGCATGGTAGGGGATACCTAATATATAAATAAAAATGTAATGTTCATTTGTGGGATTAACATAACTCAAAAACCAGTGAACGAATTGAGACCAAATTTGGACACAATATACCTATCAGTCTAATGAGTGACCATCACTCATTAAAACACTAAAAAACACATAAGAAGAGATGTTAAAAGCCAAAAAACAAAAAATACATTACAACGCATGCGCAAACACACATATATACACATATACAGAAATATACACATATGTGCACACACAAAACACATATACACAGACTGGGCCATAGCAATGCATGGCAGGGGATGGCTAGTGCTAAAATAAAAACCAGTTAATCTTAAAGGTGATGTCACGCTTATTTTTTTCCACCCCCTCCCTTCTTCCTTTCTATACCACAAGACACTAACATGACAACTTCTTTGAAAACTTCCACAATTCTATAAACTGTGAGAACTTCTGTTTTCATACTGGATTACAGGGGATGTGGTTAAGTCAGACAAGGCAATTCTTGTCACGTAAAGAGATGCGGATGTGGCAAGTGCAAATATCAGACTGTGCAGAAGTGCTGAAGTGCTGTTCAAAAGTCCTCCTCCTTCCCCTTTTGTTCTATGCTCTTGCTAATTCATTTGCACAGTGTTTCTCTTATCCTGTACTGGGTGAAATACTGTGCCTCGCTTGATTTTCTTTTTGTTTGTTATGTTCATGTCATATTAGCAGAATGTATGCTAGTGCCAGCATTTACAATTTGTGTTCATTGATGTCTTTCTTTCAGAACCTGATGATCATTTAACAGTAGCTCAGTCACTAAAGAAGGAATTTGACAACCCTGATAATGCAGATTTGAGGTTTCAAGTGGATGGAAAATACATTCATGTTCACAAAGTCCTTCTCAAGATTAGGTAAATAATTAACACTGTACTTCCACTTTTTTATCTGTCTTTCTGATAGACCTTTTTATCTGTTTCGCTACCGAGATTCATACACATGTTTTCTTATTGTTGTATCGTTTCTCCATCTTTCTAAAATATGAATACTTTTCCATAGCCAAAATTGCACCATTTTGCTTGCAGCTCTCACTCAGACCAGGTTGCCAAGAATGAATATTTTGTTAAAGGTTTATGGCATTCCAACTTCTTTGTGTTACAACGGTCCCATTTCTTATATTGGCCAGAAGTGTTTATAGTGCTAAAGTGCCATGGCATGGCTACCAGAGGGAAACCGTTCCTTTGAATGGTTAGGCAGGAGAGGTGTTGTTCATAACAACCTACATTTCTTGGCAATCCTTTTCTATATAGCCATTAAAGGGAGAAGCGCTTACCAGTTTTCACTCTAGAAACCCAAGGTGGGAGATACAGCAGCATGTTCAGTTTCCCTTAAGTTGACAGGGGACCTGATGAACAAGCCTTACAAATGAGAGACCTGTTACATGGGGCTGTGTATAGTTGTGTGCAAGTGTAAAACATGTGTTCTACTCCCCCTCTGCAGTTTAGAATTGGATTCATAAGTTTCTTGCTAGGAAGGCCCTACTAAATTTGATGATATGAACCAAGGGTCTCCAAATGATATGAACCAAGGGTCTCCAAACCCAGCCCGTGCCCTACACTTTAGTCTGAAATGACTTGAAGGCATATAACAACAACAATCCTAATCGACTTGACAGGCCCACACTTCCCATTGAAATACTGGTAGTTTGAAATTATTCTTCATTTTGAATCCAGACTTGTCCTTTTGATGCACTTTCTCTCATCCCTTAGTGAAGCTCAACCCCATTGTTTGCCCCATCTGAGTTCTCCCCTTAGACACACATTACTCAATTTACTCACTCAGGATTGTATCAATTTTATCTTGTGCATTTGGCCCGCCCACTGTGGTTTTCTTCCTCTGCCATTTTATTTTGCATCTGGTTATTGTATATTTTATTGTTTGTATTTTACTTTGATGTTATTATTTGTCTGCTGTATTTTACTTTGCTGTATTATAATTTTGGGGCTTGGCCTCATGTTAGCCGCCCTGAGTCATAGAATCATAGAATCAAAGAGTTGGAAGAGACCTCATGGGCCATCCAGTCCAACCCCCTGCCAAGAAGCAGGAATATTGCATTCAAATCACCCCTGACAGGTGGCCATCCAGCCTCTGTTTAAAAGCTTCCAAAGAAGGCGCCACCACCACACTCCAGGGCAGAAAGTTCCACTGCTGAATGGCTCTCACAGTCAGGAAGTTCTTCCTCATGTTCAGATGGAATCTCCTTTCTTGTAGTTTGAAGCCATTGTTTCGTGTCCATCATCATCATCATCTTGTGTTGTTCTTTCATGTTTTTTTGCACTACAAATAAGATGTGTGCAGTGTGCATAGGAATTTATGTTTTTTTCAGACTACGTTCTGGCCCCCTAACAGTCTGAGGGACTGTGAACCAGCCCTTGGCTTAAAATTTGTGAGGGCTCCTCATATGAATCATCCCATTAGTTGGGATAGTTCTTTGTCTAGCCCAGAGGACAACTCCCTACCGGTTTCCCAACTTGCACAATATAGAAGTTTCAGCTGGAGACCGGTTTCATTTCCCCTTCTCCTAATTTGATAGAGACAAAAGTTTCACCAACTACACATGTAAGAGACTACATGGCAAATCATATTAATAACTTAGAATCAGAGTTGGAAGAGACCTCGTGGGCCACCCAGTCCAACCCCATTCTGCCAAGATGCAGGAAAATTCAAAGAACCCCCGATAGATGGCCATCCAGCCTCTGCTTAAAACCCTCCAAAGAAGGAGCCTCCACCACACTCTGGGGCAGAGAGTTCCACTACTGAACAGCTCTCGCAGTTAGGAAGTTCTTCCTCATGTTCATGTGGAATCTCCTTTCCTGTAGTTTGAAGCCATTGCTCCATGTCCTAGTTTCTAGAGCAGCAGAAATCAAGTCTTCTCTCTCCTCCTTATGACTTCCCCTCACATATTTATACATGGCCATCATGCCTCCTCTCAGTCTTCTCTTCTGCAGAATAAACATGCCCAGCTCCTTAAGCCGCTCCTCATGGGGCTTGTTCTCCAGACCTTTAATCATTTTAGTCACCCTCCTCTGGACACATTCCAGCTTGTCAACATCTCCCTTCAACTGCAGTACCCAGAACTGGACACAGTATTCCAGGTTATAACAAGTCATGTACAGAATATTGAGCTGACATCTTGTAGATTGTGGTTAAGTGGATTTGGCTGTGAGTGAGGACTGAGTTGTTAAAATCCTCTCTAACTATTCTATGCTTCCATTTTTTCATTCTAAAAGAGAGATGTGATTTGTTCAGCAGCAGAAAACATAACACAGAGTAAATAAAGACTAGAGATGATGATAATTTGTATTTCCGATTTCATTTTTGCATGCATGCATTCATTCTTGACATATTGTTTTCTTAATCTGCTCCAAAATTTGCATATTCACATTTTATTATATTTTTGTCAATTGATTTCTGTGTCGGAATTTTGATGTGAAATGTCCCACTCTCTTAAGATTTAAAGTCCAAAATTCCCCTTCTCCTTCATTTTTCCCACTGTCCTCTTGTCATGCAGCATGCATCAAACCTGTATCATAGTTCTACATTCTTTTGTCTGAATTTCAGATGTGACCACTTTCGATCAGTGCTCAGCAACAATAATGATGAAATCATAGAAATAAGTGAATTTTCATATCCTGTTTACCGAGCCTTTCTGGAATATCTTTACACAGACAGCATCAGTCTGCCTCCTGAAGCTGCAATAGGTATTTTGTTTGTTTTCGTTCATTTATTGAATATATACCTCACTTGGATTTTAGGTCCACTTCAGCAGACTTGTATTTGACATTTTACATCATGTGAAGTCATTGTTTCCCGTCATGATCACCTTCTGAACACAGCCCTTTTTGAATGTGCTTTTGTACAAATGCCAGAAGGGAATCTACCTCATTCTGGTCTGTTCTGGATATGTGGCATCCTTAATGTTGGTGTGTAATAATCTTTGGGCAGACATATCAGTGGAATTATGTATTTATCCCACTCACAGCAGAGGAGTAGAATATTATCAAACCAGCTCTGGATATAGCTTAAGAAAACCCTATGAAATCCATGAGGATGCCATGAGTTGACAGGTGACATGAAGGTATAAACGAAAGTGATTTTTTAAAAAAACTGCCAAAATGTAATGGTACACCGAGATGGACAGACTTGCATAAGATGTTAAGCATTACCTTGCTTGATCACACCTAGTTGGATCTGTGAGTGTCCAAGAAGCACCTGCCTGGTTGGTGGAAAATAGGGAGTGATGAACAGAGCTGGCGCTTGCATCTGATGATTACTGTAATTGTAATGTTATATTCTTAAAGTATTCATATGTTTTAATGTACTTATGATGTTGTTGCTTGTTGCTTATGTTTTGGTTTTATTTTGCTGTAATGTGTTGTTGGGGAGATGGTGGTGGGGTATAAATAAAGATTATTATTATTATTAGCATTCTACTGTCTATGAGTGGATAGACAACCTTTTTTAAAAAAATCTTATTCGTAATTTTGTTTTAAAGTTCTTTAGTGATTTGGTTGGTGTGGAGGTTTGAATGTTGGACTATACCTCTGGAGACTAGGGTCTGAACTCCCAGTGAAGGCCCACTAGATGACACTGACAGGTCTGCTCCAGAAAATCCTGTGATAGGGTTGCCTTATAATCATTGTAAGTCAGAAACTATTTAAAGTCACACACCTAAGGTGGCCATTTCCATTCCTTGTGACTGCAAAAACATGAGGAAAGAGAAGGTCCCCTTACACAATAGATCCCCCACCCATTGACCTCACCTCTTATCAGGAGATCACTTTGTTGTTGAAGGCTTTCATGGCCAGAATCACTGGGTTGCTGTGAGTTTTCCGGCCTGTGTGGCCATGTTCCAGAAGCATTCTCTCCTGACATTTTGCCCACATCTATGGCAAGCATCCTCAAAAGTCTGTTGGAAACTAGGTGTGGTGAAGTGTGAGTTTTAATCTACAGTTATGTATAATAATAGATAGGTGTTTAAAAGGGTAAGTATTTAAACAAACTGGTGGGGGGGGGGTAGCCAGCTTAGCTCACTCTGAGCTGGGTTGCCATGGGAAAAGGGGCGGAGCCAACTGCAACTTGGCAGGGCAGCCATTTTAAAATGATTAGTCTGTAGTCAGTGAACTACAGGGAAGGCTGGTTCTGTTGTGTGTTGAGAACCAGTAAGGTAGTCTGTAGTCTAAGAACTACAGGGAAAGGCTGATTCTACTGTGTTGAGAATCAGGAAGGTTTTGGCTTTTAGCTTAGATAGGTCGAGTTGACTTATTTATATTATTAGTCAGTGTATGAGCAAAAGGGGGAGAGAATCCTAATAAGAATCTTTACTGCAACAGAAATAACATAAGGAAAGAATAAGCTTGCACCTGAAATAATCGGATAAGGAAAGAAACACATTTTGAAGGAAAATAAGTTCAAAACCTGTTTAGTGAAAGGAATAGTCCTTTTATGAAAGGTATTAAATGTAACCTCTGAAGAAATGTGCTTTTAAGAGCTAAGAAACATTGAAACCACCAAGCTTCTTCTATACTTCAATAAACTTGTTACAGTTTCTTCTAAAGCTAAATCTCTGTTACAAATACTTTCAAGTTAAGCCATGCTACACAATGAAGAAAGACCAATTCAATATTACAACCTATTAGTTGTGTTATCGATTTAGTAAGTCCTTACAAAGTGGTGGCTCCTTTACAAATCGTTACAAACTGGTGGCATCGTTATAAATTGGTGGCCTCTTCACACTAGGCAAGTGGGGTTTATATATCTCTGGAATGTCCAGGGTGGGAGAAAGAACTCTTGTCTGGAACAAGGCTATACAGTCTGGAAAACTCATCTCAATCCACTTGATAATTTTTCCTTAGTTATTTTTTGTATTGATTTATTACTGTGGGGAAAAGTCTTAGGTTTTTTCCCCTTCTAGCCTGCCTATCAACTGTTTTTTTTTTTTCCCCCTCTGGCAGGTTTGCTAGACCTTGCTACCTTCTATCAGGAAAAACGGCTGAAACGACTTTGCCAGCAAACCATCAAGCAGGGTATTTCTGAGGAAAATGCCATTGCCCTTCTTTCAGCTGCAGTCAAGTACGAGGCTAAGGTATGAAGAATATGTATGTGTTACCTTCGACTTCTTTTCAGATATTTGAGAACTATTTATATTGGAAATAATGTGTAATGAGCTGGTGACTAAGAGACTGGGCAGCAACTCAGGAAGGTGGTCTTTTATCTTTCTAATGAACTCAAGATTGACTTAGGCAGGCCTTTGTTTTTGTAGCCTCATCCGCTCATTGACAATGTGGATATGAAATTATTACTGCAAAAAGAACATGGTGATCAAAGGTCTGGAAACCATGCCCTGTGAGGAGCGTCTTAAAGAGCTCCTGTAGAAGAGAAGGTTGAGAGCACACATGATAGCCATGTTTAAATATTTGAAAGGCTGTCATAAGGAAGAGGGAACAGGCTTGCTTTCTGCTGCCCTGAAGACTAGGACTCAGAACAATGAGTTCAAATTACAGGAAGGAAATTCCACCTGAACATAAGGAAGAACCTTCTGACTGTAAGAGCTGTTCAACAGGGGAATTCTCTACCTCATTATGTGGTGGAGACTCCTTCTTTGGAGCCTTTTAAACAGAGGCCAGATGGCCATCTGTTAAGGTTGCTTTGATTGTTCTTTTCCTCCATGGCAGAGATTGGACTAAATGGCCTGTGTCAGTGTTTCTCAACCTTCCTAATGCCACAACCCTTTGATACAGTTCCTCATGTCATGGTGAACCCCAACCATCAAATTATTTTTGTTGCTACATCATAACTGTAATTTTGCTCGTGTTATGAATCCTAATGTAAATATCCAATTAGCAGGATGTATTTTCATTCACACTTGGCACAAATACCCAATATGCCCAAATTTGAATACTGGTGGGGTTGGGAGAGATTGATTTTGTCATTTGGGAGTTGTAGTTGCTGGGATGTATAGTTCACCTACAAACAAAGAGCATTCTGAACTCCACCAACGATGGAATTGAACAAATCTTGGCACACCAAACTCCCATGACCAACAGAAAACACTAGAAGAGTTTGGTGGGCATTGACTTGCGTTTGGGAGTTGTAGTTCACCTGCACCCAGAAAGCACTGTGGAGTCAAACAATGATGGATCTGGACCAAACTTGGCATGAATACTCAATATGCCGAAATGTGAACACTGGTGGAGTTTGGGGGAAATAACCTTGATATTTGGGAGTTGTCATTGCTGGGATTTACAGTTCACCTACGATCAAAGAGCCCCTTGAATCCCACCAATGACAGAATTGGGCCAAACTTCCCACACACAACCCCCGTGACCAAGAGAAAATACTGTGTTTTCTGATGGCCTTTGGTGATCCCTCTGACACTCCCTCATGACCCCCTCTAGGGGTCCCGACCCCCAAGTTGAGAAACACTGGCCTATGTGGTCTCTTCCAACTCTCTGATTCTGTGTAGGTAAAGCACTATGAATGCCTGCAGCACTAAACAAATGCTGAGTATATAATCTTATTAATCGTCTCAAAAGTCATAATATTTTTAAGAGAGGAGCTCTGTCATCAAACGTAACAAGAGTGAAAGTGCCTTTTTTGTTAATAGGCAGTGCATTTGGTTGAGATTATCGGTCTTTGGCTGCCTCTCTTGTGCACACATTCTCCTTCTTGACATGCTGTCCCTGCATAATAAAAGCCTTAGGCAAGAACACAAAGTATGCCCACTGGCAGGGAGGGAAGCTTTTAGATGAGCTAAAACAAACGAAGAATGAGGTACACTCTAGAGGGCGAGAGAAGACATTACTGTGTTGTTGTTCATTCGTTCAGTTGTTTCCGGCTCTTCGTGACTTCATGAACCAGTCCACACCAGTTCCCTATCGGCCGTCACCACCCCCAGCTCCTTCAAGGTCAATCCAGTCACTTCAAGGATGCCATCCATCCATCTTGCCCTTGGTCGGCCCCTCTTCCTTTTTCCTTCCATTTTCCCCAGCATCATTGTCTTCTCTAAGATTTCCTTTCTTCTCATGATGTGGCCGAAGAAATCACTTTCTTCACAGCTACCATGAAGAGGTGGAGAAGGTTCTTAGTGAGTTTGTTGATGTGGCACAGAAGAACTAAGAGAAAAGGTGTCATGAGTATACTGTGTCAATATGTATACTGTGTCGTATTCTGTGTCGATATGGAAAAGTTTAGAAATTTTTGTCAAAAAATTAGCGACTTCCGGTGGAGGCAAGAATGGAGGCTGCAGCAGCTTAGCGAGCTTAGTGAGCTCCCGGAGCCATAAACTGTAAACCTCTCCCAGAGGGGTCGGGGGACCAGTATCTCCCCCCAACGACGACGGATAAGGTCGTGTTGGCACCCTCCAGGACATAGCAACGGGGGTCTCCTACAAGGGACCCCCACTAGTGAAGAAACCTGGGGACAAGGCCCGGGATGAGGACGCCGTCCTAAAGGACGGTAAGCAGCCTACCGCCTCCATTAAGCTTTACAAGTTCAAACTATAAAAGAAAGAAGGACTTAAGAGAGATAAAGGAAGCAGAGGGAAAAAGGAGAAGCAATTTTAACTGATGAGATACCCGTAGAGAGAATACTGGAATTATTGAACTATTGAAACTACTGGAACTACAGGAATGGTGAGAAGTATAAAGGAAGCTTAAAGGAATTACCTGCACCTACACATAAACGCTGAGGGAGGACGGAGGAATTGCGAGCGTGGAGGCATCGAGAGACAGGAACGGCTGAAGCGGCGGCGGCTGAAGCGGCGGTGAGGACGACGAAGGCGGCGAGTAGGGGCAGGGGCGGGGGAGAAGGAGAAGGGCGAAGAGCTAAAGAGGGGAAGGGAGGGAATAGACCCCCCTGGAACACCCCAGTTACCGCCAGCGGCCCAGTCGCCGACCACGGAACAAGAACAGGAGGACAGGAGAAAGCGTGGCAGCGAATGGAGGAGGAGGCCCAGAAGACGGAAAGCATTTAGAGCCGCAAAGCAAAGCGGATGGAAAAGGCTGTAAAGGCTGCAAAGGCTGCAAAAGGCCGGGAAAGTGAAAGAGAGCCGGGGAGATTGAGAAGAGAAAAGAAGAGAAAAGAAGCAGCAAAAGAAAATACGGAGAAGAAGAAAGCTGGAAGAAAGCTGGAAAACTGATACTCCACTCCGCTAACTTATTAACTTACTACACTACCAAGCTACTGGGAGAGCAGAGCGTGGAGAGTGAAGCCTGGATGAAGAGGAGAGTGAAGCCTGGAAGACTGGAAGTTTACTCCGACGAAGGAAAAAGAGAAGAAAGCAGCAAAGGTAATCAACTTAATTCAATGAATAGATATAAAAATAATATTAAAATATATCTAGATTGAAATTGTTTAATATATGTAACTGTATTTAATTGTATTTATATTTAATTAAACCTTCACTATATTAGATTAAATCATATTGAGAAAGGTGGAATTTTTTATCGGTTACATGTCATATCTCATATGTAGGCTACTCTTAAAAAGACCCGTGTAATGAACGATTGTATGGAATTGTGATAATACACAATAGAAGCTAGCGCAAATTTAATAATTGGAATAGCACTTTAAAGCATATTAGCACTTGAATAAATTGATGATGATTGTAATTACTGTGAGTAGCCCATTGTAAAAGCAGATGTAGGGACCCACAACTGGTTGTAAAGGAAGAAGAAAGAAGAGAAGTTGGAATAATCAGAAGAATCCACTTGACAAAGAAATAGGACAGGAAGGCGAAATAGAAGTGCCGGAAACCAGGTTTAATTGAATAAGAGAAACGCAAACTTGGTGAGGGCTGGAAGGGAAAACGAAATTGAACAAATAAATAAGGAAGTAAGAACTGACAGTACAAACTTGATTGGAAATATTTTGACTACTGACTACTGAGGAGCTGTAATACAAAAGGGAAAAAGATGGAACAATCGGTGGCAACAAAAGGTAATAAATTGCCACAAGCAAGAAGACACTCCCTACAAGGAGAAAAATTACAAAAAATGATAGGGGAAAATTTGAAAAAGCCCAAGAAGAATCATCTACTGCGGGCATAATGGCAGAACTAATCAAAATCCAAGAGGCACAAGGAAAATTACAAGAGACACAAGAAAAAATACAAGCATCCCAAAAGAAGATGATGGAATCTAAATTGGAGAAGATGATAAAAGATGAAATGGGAAAACTAGGAGAGGAAAATAAAGAAGAAATACAGGCGGTCAAAACAGAGATGAATACAATGCATAAAGAAATCAATGACATAAAAAAAGAGAATGCGGCACAGAAGAAAACTGTGGAAAAAACAAACAAAAGAGTGGACAAATTGGAAGAGCTAACCGAAAAAATAAATAAAATGCAAGAAAGAACAGATAGAAATGAAACAGAATATCAAATCAGAATTAGGAACATCGAAGAAAATGAACAAGATAACTAAGGAATACAGTAACTGAAATTACAGCAAAGATTCTAGATGTGCCGACTCAAGAGATGGACAAAAATATAGACAGAGTGTACAGAGTGCAAACAATGTATGCTAAAAAGAAAGGAACGGCAAGAGACATCGTGGCCCACTTAGCAAGAAAACACTTAAGGGACCAAATTATTAAAAATAACACCAGAGAACCCATAACTTACAAAGGCAAGAAAGTGATCATTTTAAAGGAAATATCAACCTCGGACTTGAGTAAAAGAAAACAATATTACTTTCTAACAGATGAACTAAAAAAGCTACATATAAAATTTAGATGGGAAAGGAGAGAGGGCATAATGGCTACCTATAATGAAGAAAAACACTGGATAACATCGATAGAAAAAGCCAAGATTTTTTACCAAAAAATTAAGGAAGATCAAGAGGACAAGAAAAAGAAAGCGGGAAGACACCCAGCTAGGGAAGAAGAGAGAGAATCGGATAGAGACGATATGGAAATAACAAATACATTAGACCCAACCAAAAGGAACAAAGGCGAAAAGAGAGCCAGAGAAACCTCCCCAGAGGATTATGGTAAACAAGGACTGAAGGATATAGTAACAAAGGACTTGTCAGATACAAAATTGAATGATGGCGTTTAAAATCATATCGAATAATGTTAACGG